ATACAACAGTATATAAAATACCTCATCCCATCTCTCTCAGATTTAGAAATAGCCATAGACAGGGCTCACCGACTTCCTAAACCGTCATTTCTCGCAGCATCAGTCCCAAGAGATGTCCTGGCACGGATACATTTTTACCACATCAAAGAAAAAATTATGTCGGCAGCCAGAAATCCACCCTCACTCCCGTCATCGTATGCAAATATTCCACTATTTGCTGACCTTTCAAAAGCCACGCTCCTAAACCGCCAAAAAATTATTACTATCACTAAAGCTTTACGAAACCACGGCATAAGCTATCAATGGGGGTTCCCAACTAAAATTACTGTTAAACAACACGGTAAGATTTTCACAATCAAAAATCTTGAAGCAGGCCTGGAGCTGCTAAAGGCATGGAATATACAACCGGCAGATCCTCCACCCTCAAACACTACTAATATCCAGCAAATGGAGGCAGAATGACTCTAACCTAACACCCCTCCTATATACAATCAACGCTTCACCTCGGGAAATACACCTTACTCTGCTATGCTCTGGCGATCGACCCTGTTCTTAAAGAATTAAAGTGTTTTTGTTACCGGAAATTGTTTGGCATGACCTTTTCTGTGGTCAAAGCCTAATTAAAACCCCCAATTTTGAAGTAGCTCTTCTTGCTACTCAAGTTACTTGCATTTTCCCGCAATTTTTTTTTACCCTCCTGTTCTCCCTCCCTCTTCCACCGACCTCACCAGTCGTCGATCAATTGCACCATCTCTTTACCTGACATCTGCAAACCATCATGGAATACTCACTCTCACTCATCGATAGAGCCATAACCTTGCCTCCATGACATCAGAACCTGTCTCTCCACACAACTTCAACAATTTGAACACGCTCTCCTCAAACAACATCTCGACCTTTTCACTAACCCATCCCTGGATATACACTATGATTAATATTACATCACTTAACGTTCGCGGCTTAAACTCGCCGTTCAAGAGATCGATGTTTCAAAAAGAAACTCGAACGTTTCAAGCCGATATCCTTCTTTTACAAGAAACGCACTTCGCAACAAACAAGACTCCCAAAACTACAATTACACCGATTCTCACACATCTTTATGGCTACCAACCCCAAGAAAAGAAATGGTGTCATCACAGCTATAAAAGACTCTGCTCAGTTCCGATATACATCTGAAAGAGCTGACCCACAAGGCCGATACCATATTTTAATATGCCACATAAACGACATTCCCTACACTCTAGTGAACGTCTATGGCCCTAACCAAAATCAGTTGCAATTCTACCACAAACTTTACACTACCATTATTTCTGCTCAAAAGCAAGGCATACTTCTCATTGGTGGAGACTTCAATGTAACTGGCAATCCTCTTCTAGACTCATCTTCCAACAAAAGATCCCGCAAACCACTTCAAACTTCAACCACTTCCTCAACGACAATGACCTGTACGATATCTGGCAATGCCAACACAGCGATGAGAAAGACTACACCTACTTCTCCCCTTCTCAACTGTCCTTTTCCAGAATCGACTTTTTCATCACAGATAAATGGACACTACAACATGTTCTGTCATCTAAAATCGGTACCATAACCTGGTCAGACCATGCTCCAATCAACATAACCCTAGATGATAATCAACGCTCTACAATCCCTCCCATCTGGAGACTGAACTCTACAATTCTAAAGAACCCAGAAAACCAAAAACACCTACTAGAAGCCCACAATCTCTTCTTCGATTGTAATGACACACCGGACATTTCTATAAACCACTTTATGGCCTGCTTACAAAGGCTTACATGAGAGGTATCCTTATACAACTAAATTCCCGAATCAATAAACAACAATCCCAACAAATTGACCAACTCCTAAACTCCATAAAAATAAATGAAGAAATTAACAAAAAAAACCCAAATGCTTCTACTTCTAAAGCCCTAACAATGTACAGGAACAAACTTTGACTACTATTACTCTATAAATATGACCTTAACCTTCAAAAGACAAAGTCACAATTCTATTCCCTACGTAACAAAGCAAACTCATTCCTCATAAAAATAATTAAACAAAGGCGGCTCATATCCAAGATCACCCTAATCCACCACCCCACCACTCGCATCTCACTCACGAACCCACAAGACATAGCCAACGCTTTTGCGAACTACTACCAATCCCTATATGATATTAAAGATGATCCGGACACAACACAACCGACGACAGCATCCAGCCTTAACTTCCTAGCAACCGCCAATCTCCCTCAACTCACCCCTACACAACTTGAATCTATATCTACACCGATATCTCCCACAGAAATAGAAAAAAAAAACATAAAATCCCTACCTCTTAATAAATCTCCAGGAAATGATGTATTTACAAACGAATACTATAAAATTTTCACCCCTAATCTTGCACCACACTTATCTGTTCTTTTCAACCAAGCAGCCTCCACAGGACAATTCCCTAAGACATGCTACAATCCATAATCACAACCATCCCCAAACCCAATAAAAATCCCCAAATGGTCCAAAATTACAGACCAATTTCATTATTGAACACAGACATCAAACTATACGCTAAAATAATTGCACAAAGATTACTTCCTCATCTCCCTACGCTAATTCACCCAGACCAAGTGGGATTTATTCCTGGTGGACAAGCTCCAAATGCAACCAGACGACTATCACTCTTACACAACCTTGAGAGCTCCAGACAACCTTCCTTACTACTATCCCTAGATGCTGAAAAAGCATTTGACCGCATACATTGGCAATTCATGAAACTCACACTTCAAAAATTTGCTATCACAGACTGCATGCTATCCCTGTACTCCAAACCCCTCAGCTAGAGTACTAACTAGTGGTACCCTCTCCCAAACCTTCCAGATTTCCAATGGCACTAGACAAGGCTGCCCACTATCTCCCATAATCTTTACTTTACTCATCGAACCCCTAGCATCCAAGTTCAGAGATGACCCAACTTTTACAGGTATTACGTACCTCAAAAAAAAAAAACAAAATCAGCCTGTTTGCAGATGACATCATTTTGATGATTACCAACCCCTACAAATCACTTCAAACGATTTGCACACATTTATGCAACTACTCAGAAGTCTCATATTATAAACTCAACGAGCCCAAGTCCTCTATACTAAATCTCTATACTTCAGAAAAGACTCAAAAACTACTAATTAAACATTTCCCCTTCTCATGGGAACACCATAGCATTCCTTACCTGGCGATCAAACTCACTACTACAACTGGCCAACTATATACCTCTAACCATAAAACACTACTTGAATCCATCCTACACGAACTCAAAACTCTTCGCAGATCAACTCTATCGACACTAGGGAGAGTGGCGACTTTAAAAATGTGTATCTTACCCAAGATCCTCTACATATTCCGCACTCTTCTTATCCCGGTTCCCAACATATTCTTTTCCAAATTACAAGCAATTTTTGCCAAATTCATGTGGAACTCGAAAAAAACCCAGATGCGCAACAAACCTATTAATACATCCAACCTACAGAGGAGGAGTAGGCTTCCTTCATTTAAAATCATACTACACTGCTTCGCTGCTAGATCAGATCTACTTCTGGTGGCATCCAACTACAGAAAAATCATGGACTACCATGGAAACACTCTCGCACTCCGTCCCTACACCCGAAAAAAATGTATTTCTTCCTCAAACCGCGCAACACCACTTATACTTAAACATCCTTGCATACAGGCCTCCCTCCAAGCCTGGTATGATCTTTTAGCATCTGACAAAACGATCACCAAACAAACCCCTACCCCAATTACAATTCTATATTTCATTATTCCCTCCATAAATCTACGACAATGGGAGAAACAAGGCATTACATATATTCGAGACATCTATACAAACAATAAATTAGATTCCTTCTCAACCCTCCAAGAAAAATGTCATCTCCCCAACAATGAATCTTACACATACATGCAAATAGCGCACTCCTTACAACAACTAAATATTCTGCATACAAGAGCAATCCCTACTACTACACTCAATTTCCTATAAAAACCACATTACCCCAAAAAAGGAATCTCAACCTTTTATTCACTTATAACTAATGCCAAGTTTACTATAAAAACCACTTCCCTATCCAACTGGGAAGCCACTTTCACACTACCAATACAACTGCACACATGGGAAAGAACCTTTATGAACACCTATAAAGCTTCCAGATGTAGTTCCCACTGGGAATGAAAATTCTACACCAATGGTACCTAACACCGGCTAAACTCTCTATATACTACTCTTAACACTCTCCCAATTGTTGGAGACAGTGTAGAGATCTTTAAAATCTTACTGGAACAAAGTGTTTCAATTGATTCCTCAATCACCGAAACCCCAATGATACCAAACCCAGCGCTCGCACTCCTACATATAGGAATCGATAAACTCCCTGCAGATTCTCGCTCCATCATCATACACATATTATCAGCTGCCAAAACCAACATCACTAAATTATGGAAATCATCCAAAACTCCTTCTCTCTCCGATCACCTTACTGACCTTAACTTTCAATGAGAGATGAAGAAGAGATCAGCACTCCACAAATCCTCTTATCACAAATTTAAATACCAATGGCTACAGAACCCCAACTGTACTATGAATTGATATCCATATAACTAGAGATGAGCGAATTATTCAAAAATTCGATTCGGCTGATTCGGCGAATTCGCGGAATGAATTCAATTCGAGTCGAATATATTCGCTGCAAATTTAACTTATAAAAAGGGTGTTTCTAGGCTTCAGAGAGCCTTTATATTAGTGCAGAACACTGTACCTTTAATTTAAATGCCCTTGGAGTCTGCTGGGGAAGAGAAATAATACTGTCAGTCAGTATGACATGCAGATGAGTGCCGTTGATCTTAGAATCACCGCACACTTCACTCATTTGGGCAGTCACGGGGCCAAAACCAGAGTGTGGAGCCACAGTGTGGCGGTGGAGGGCAGCAGCAATGGGAGGCCATACAGCACTATGAAAAAATGGAACCCACCAGCAGTGTGAGGAGACCTGAAAGTGGCACATGGCAGAGTGTGGCGATGGAGACAGCAGCAATGGGAGGCCGTACAGGGACCCATGACACACTCTGGACCTGGCAGCAGCATGAGGAGGCGGTACAGGGGCCCATGACAGATTACGGGCCTGGCAGCAGCATGAGGAGTCGGTACGGGGGCCCATGGCAGATTACGGGCCTGGCAGCAGCAATGGGAGGCCGTACAGGGACCCATGACACACTCTGGACCTGGCACAGCATGAGGAGGTGGTACAGGGGCCCATGACAGATTACGGGCCTGGCAGCAACATGAGGAGTCGGTACGGGGGCCCATGGCAGATTACGGGCCTGGCAGCAGCAATGGGAGGCCCGTAATCTGCCAGCACCCTATGACAAAATGGAACCCACCAGCAGTGTGAGGAGACCTGAAAGTGGCACATGGCAGAGTGTGGCGATGGAGACAGCAGCAATGGGAGGCCGTACAGGGACCCATGACACACTCTGGACCTGGCAGCAGCATGCATGAGGAGGCGGTACAGGGGCCCATGACAGATTACGGGCCTGGCAGCAGCATGAGGAGTCGGTACGGGGGCCCATGGCAGATTACGGGCCTGGCAGCAGCAATGGGAGGCCCGTAATCTGCCAGCACCCTATGACAAAATGGAACCCACCAGCAGTGTGAGGAGACCTGAAAGTGGCACATGGCAGAGTGTGGCGATGGAGACAGCAGCAATGGGAGGCCGTACAGGAACCCATGACACACTCTGGACCTGGCAGCAGCATGAGGAGGCGGTACAGGGGCCCATGACAGATTACGGGCCTGGCAGCAGCATGAGGAGTCGGTACGGGGGCCCATGGCAGATTACAGGCCTGGCAGCAGCAATGGGAGGCCCGTAATCTGCCAGCACCCTATGACAAAATGGAACCCACCAGCAGTGTGAGGAGACCTGAAGTGGCACATGGCAGAGTGTGGCGATGGAGACAGCAGACAATGGGAGGCCGTACAGGGACCCATGACACACTCTGGACCTGGCAGCAGCATGAGGAGGCGGTACAGGGGCCCATGACAGATTACAGGCCTGGCAGCAGCATGAGGAGTCGGTACGGGGGAACCCATGGCAGATTACGGGCCTGGCAGCAGCAATGGGAGGCCGTACAGGGACCCATGACACACTCTGGACCTGGCAGCAGCATGAGGAGGCGGTACAGGGGCCCATGACAGATTACGGGCCTGGCAGCAGCATGAGGAGTCGGTACGGGGGCCATGGCAGATTACGGGCCTGGCAGCAGCAATGGGAGGCCCGTAATCTGCCAGCACCCTATGACAAAATGGAACCCACCAGCAGTGTGAGGAGACCTGAAAGTGGCACATGGCAGAGTGTGGCGATGGAGACAGCAGCAATGGGAGGCCGTACAGGGACCCATGACACACTCTGGACCTGGCAGCAGCAAGAGGAGGCGGTACAGGGGCCCATGGCAGAGATGGCGAAGCGTAAGCAGCTTAAATTGAAGGCCATACAGAGGCCTATGTTAAAAATAATAACATGTTTGGGGGCATGATTCATGGCGGATTTAGTCAGTTGTGTCAGGAACTGGTGGTTTGAAATCCAGACTAATCCACGCCTGATTCATTTTCACAAACGTGAGTCTCTCCACACTTTGGGTGGGTGGACAGTCGTGTCCTCCGCCGGGAGTTACAATACCTCCCCTGTGTGACTACGTTCGCCAAGGCATACCAGGTGCAGCACAGCGTGACACCGTTGGGCCCTGCACATGTGATATGCCGGTCGGGTAATGGGACTTGGCACGGGGGGCGGCTGAGGACACGAAGGAAGAAGAGGTGGTAGAGGCGGACATCTTTGCTGGACCAAGGACGTGCAAACGTGGAGGCAAAAGCGGCGTGACCTGTCCAAGTTGCTGGTGCGGCTGTGCCGGCACCACGTTCACCCAGTGGGCCGTAAATGACATGTACTGTCCCTGACCATAGTTACAGCTCCACACGTCAGCGCTGCCGTGCACTTTGGCAGAGACCGACATGCTCAAAGACTGGCCCACCATCTCTTCTACATGTGAATGCAGGGCTGGCACTGCCTTTTTGGCGAAGAAATGCCGGCTTGACACTCTCCACCGCGGCGCGGCACAAGCCATCATTTCTCGGAAAGGTGCTGAGTCCACTACTTGGAAAGAGAGGGACTGCAGCACCAGCAACTTGGACAGGAGGACGTTCAGCTTCTGCACCGTCGGGTGCGTGCTCGCAAACTGTTGTCTCTTGGAAACGGATTCCAAGAAAGACTGCTGACGGAATCCGTGAAGAGGAGTAGCAGGAGAAGGAGCATCTGAACGAGCGGAAGATGCCAACGAGCGACAACTCCCCTCAGCAGAGAGTGTTGGAGCCTTGACTGGCTGATAGAGGGCGATTGACGTCGGGTGACGGAGCAAGTAACGGAGCGGGTGATGGAGCGGGGGCTGGGGCAGGCAGAACCGCCGTATCTTTATCACGGTTTTCCCAGGCCACCGAATGGCGACGCTGCATATGCTGACGCAACGCTGTAGTCCCAACATGGGCCCCCTGGCCACGCTTTGACTTTCTGGCCACATAGTCGACATACGGCTACGTTTACTTCCTCGGGCGGCTTGACGAAAAATTGCCACACACAACCGCCGAGTAGGAAACTTTGCCCTCGCTACTCCTCACTGGCTGACTGCTACTTCCTCCGTGCACTCCGGCACCACTACTGGCCGTGGTGGTAGGCTGCAGTGGAGCTGGTGCTCTACTCCATGGCCGTTTGCCTCCACTGACACTGCTGCAACCCTGCTGCCTCCTGGGCAACCCATCGACTGTTTTGCTCGCTGCCAAGCTGGCACCCTCTTCTCCTGATGATGCGGAAGCAATAACCTGATGACGACGAGGCTGCCAAGTGCGATCAGCCTCATCATCATCAATTAGGGTCTCCGCCTCACTACTAGCCCCCTCGGCTGCGTGTGGGTCAGGAGACAGACCTGTCTCTAGACCGGCTACCGAGCCACTCTCCTCGCCAGTACTTCTTCGCCTGGCTGCTGAAGAGGCGGATGTCTCCCCCCGTTCCTGACCGCCCTCTGTTAGCTCTTCCTCACTGTACAGTGGGGCTGAGCCCACAGCATGTGATACTTCGCTTGGTGAGGGAACACCAAAGGACAGGGGCAGGTAGAGGACACGTGATTTCAGTGGGCTTGCTCCCGGGCCATGCCAACTAACGGTTGTGTCTGACGTACCCACCGACCGTTGGCTGTAGGTGTCAGAGGTGACCTGGGAAGAGGAAGACGACCGAGCCAACCAATCGATGACGGCAGGGTTGTCGGTGGAGACACGACCGCTGGATGACACCGGGAGCACTGGCCTCTGGCTGCGACTAGTGCTGCCTCGACCCCTTCCTCTGCTGCCACGTCTGCTCGCTCCTGAAACATGCCTCCTCTGCCACTCCTCTGCGTGTTGTCTGACATACTCTTTAATTCAACGATTCTGTGTCCCTGAGTAACGATTCTGTGTCCCTGAGTAACAATTCTGTGTCCCTGAGTAACGATTCTGTGTCCCTGAGTAACGATTCTGTGTCCCCTGAGTAACAATTCTGTGTCCCTGAGTAACGATTCTGTGTCCCTCAGTAACAATTCTGTGTCCCTGAGTAACAATTCTGTGTCCCCGAGTAACAATTCTGTGTCCCTGAGTAACGATTCTGTGTCCCTCAGTAACGATTCTGTGTCCCTCAGTAACGATTCTATGTGTCCCTCAGTAACAATTCTGTGTCCCTGAGTAACAATTCTGTGTCCCTGAGTAACAATTCTGTGTCCCTGAGTAACGATTCTGTGTCCCTCAGTAACAATTATGTGTCCCTGAGTAACAATTCTGTGTCCCTGAGTAACGATTCTGTGTCCCTCAGTAACGATTCTGTGTCCCTGAGTAACAATTCTGTGTCCCTGAGTAACGATTCTGTGTCCCTGAGTAACGATTCTGTGTCCCTGAGTAACGATTCTGTGTCCCTCAGTAACAATTCTGTGTCCCTGAGTAACAATTCTGTGTCCCTGAGTAACATTCTGTGTCCCTGAGTAACAATTCTGTGTCCCCTGAGTAACAATTCTGTGTCCCTTGAGTAACAATTCTGTGTCCCTGAGTAACAATTCTGTGTCCCTGAGTAATGATTCTGTGTCCCTCAGTAACAATTCTGTGTCCCTGAGTAACAATTCTGTGTCCCTGAGTAACAATTCTGTGTCTGTCCCTGAGTAACAATTCTGTGTCCCTGAGTAACAATTCTGTGTCCCTGAGTAACGATTCTGTGTCTCTGAGTAACAATTCTGTGTCCCTGAGTAACGATTCTGTGTCCCTCAGTAACAATTCTGTGTCCCTGAGTAACAATTCTGTGTCTGTCTCTGAGTAACGATTCTGTGTCCCTGAGTAACAATTCTGTGTCCCTGAGTAACAATTCTGTGTCCCTGAGTAACGATTCTGTGTCCCTAAGTAACGATTCTGTGGCCCTAAAGTCTCTGTGGCCCTAACTCTGTCCCTAATACACAGAGGTCTGTCTCTCTTGAATGACCAGAGGCTAATGGAGAATTCTAAGATGGCCGCGATTTATAGCTCCACCATTACACAGTGCTGGCTGGCTGGCTGCTGATTGGCTAATGCGATCACATGTCATGAATGAATGAATTATGGGTCAGCGCGCCTTGTCTGCGCCCCTTCCCAGAGATCCCCGCTCCGTCGCCACACATGTCGCCGCCATTTTTGGGAAAATTCGATTCGTGCATCCGAAGTTTGCTAAATTTCGGATTCGATGCGAATCGAATATTTCCTAATCTTCGAAACGAATTCCACTTCGTCATGTTCGGTTTCGATCTCTACATATAACCATATCGTACAAAACCTTTGAAATTGACTGGTGTTTAGTTTCCCCCCCCCCACCCTACCCACTTCCCCCCCCCCTACCCCTCCCTACCCCTCTCCTTTTCCTTACCCATTCTATACACAGTACCCCACCTAACCCTGGTTCACACCACGATAAGCATACCTCTTAGTTAAGCGAAACCTCTGTTTATGCTGTCCCTAGCCAATTGGTAGGGAATCTACTGCATATATACCCTGCTGTACTTAATGTGAACCGCATTGTCATACTATATCCTGTTTTGATAAAATTCTTTCAACAAAAATATTTGAAATAAACTGAACTATGGCCTGGGGTTCTTGCCGCTTGATCTATTATGTTCTCTTAAGCGTCCGTAAACTGTTCCTGTATTGACTCTCTGTTACCAACTTGATCTGCCCGACCTTACCTGAACTCTGCCGGTACTGACCCCTGGCTTGTCCTTGGTTTTCGTCTCTGCATGCTCCTCCTGCTAATACAGCCATCTCCCTACCGTTGGCGCCCCTTGCCTGACCTTCACTATTCTTCTGCGTGCCGTGTTGTACCTTGATCTGCTTTTCAGTTGCCATCCCAGGCTGCCTGACCCTGCTCTCTGCATCTGAACCAGCTGACTTGTATCACTTGCCACTCTGG